ACAACAATCACCAGTCATATTGGATTTGTGTTGGAGGAAAACCCGGTCGGGGAAGTCACATGATTACGGTGACTATATCGTTTTCGAAAAGTTTCGTTTTCAAAATGTTTTCCGTCCACGCGATAGCGAAAACCCGGCGTTTTCAAATTCCTCCAGTTTGAAGAGCGTTTTCGAAAAGCTCCGTTTTGGTGACGGATTAGTGTGGACAGTAAGCCGAACCGTAGAAATAAAGCTGCCTTTTCAAATTCTTCCGGCGTAGTGTGGATGGGGTCTTAGTCATTTGGTTGCACCTTCACCGCAGTAATTTTTACAGCTTGTATTAACACAACGTGAATCGAAGAGGCTTGACATTGGATAGAAGAAGTCGGTAAAATTAGCGCAAGACAGGGCCCTTAACTTATGTGTCACAGAGGCACCTCGAGGTATGAACACAACGATAGAACTTGCACGTTCAACGTTAACTATTCTGTGCTTTGATTTGCTTGCAGACAGCTGGCCCAGGAGATGAAGGAAGTTGCAGCTCAGCGGCAACAAGAAGAGGAAGCGTTTTACCGACAGCAGGAGCTCATGATAGACGCCGAGAATCAGAGGAGAGCCATGATCAGCAAGGAAGAAGAAAAACTTGTCGATCAGAGAAGCAGGTTTGTAAAAAAAAAGGAATGAGTGGTTTCACATGAGTACGTATCTCAAAATGTTAATTCCCTTTATTCAATGTCGTACATTTGTACGCTTTGCATCGACCTGGTAAGAGTGAACTCAGTTAAGAAGGAATCCAAGTTCGAGTAACAAGTGAACAAAAAACTTTGTACTAAGATTATTTACATCGTATTGCAAAATTCTGTGCGACTGTTTTAAATATCTTCTAAAAAAATCATTTCTAGCAACACCAAGTGTTGAAAACAAATTTTGAACTTCGTATGGAACACTTGAAAGTACTGATGAAATGAAACTGATCATGAAATTTTACCTGTGTTGGCACAATTTCTCTAAACTATGAAGTTTCTTTTCTCGAGTTACCATGGGAAATTGTTTTCGATGTTATTTGAGGCAACTATTTATATCTTTAACTTTAAGACAAATTAAAAGACTGTAAAATACCTGGTACCAGGTTTTTGTCTATTAAAAATTGAAATTGCTCGATATCTTATCGGATTTCGTCTTAAATTGTTATCACCCTGGGAAGCCGGGGGGAGACATTTCAGTGAACGTTAAGTGTGTAGTGTTTATCAGATTGCAGGCAATGAAACGAGAAGTTCACTTACGAGAACTGCAGCTGCTGGACGCTGTTCGCAGGCGCTTCATGCATCATCAACAGACACTGAAAGAGGCGGAACTACAGAGACTTGACGACGAAATTGAACGTAAGGTTAGTGAAGACACAGGCCACCGAGTACCTTAGGCTGGAAAACAGTTTGACGCTTGGAAATATACATAGTGGTTCTCTTTAAATGGTATGAGATTCTAAAGGGACAACGTCCTGGCAGATTATCAAAAGTTCGCTTTCCTAATTTCCTTACATCCCCAAACTTAACCACAATCATGGACAAAAGTGTTGACATATTTGAACAAAACAAACGCTTTCTATCGGCGTCCTTCCGTAAATGGAAAAAACATCTTTTTGTCGAGCCAAACTCCCCTCTCCCCTTTTCAATGTTGAAACGCGCTCCGTGGACACTGTCACAAGGCTACAACATTGAAAAGGGGAGAGGGGGTCGAAAAGATAAAATTGGAGATTGAAAAACTCACGCGTTCAACAAAACAGGTTTTTTTCGGGGAGTGTCTCAACTGCTTTTATCCATGATTGCAGTTATACAAATAAATTGGAAAAATCTCCTACAAAGCAAAATAGAGCAAGTATTTTGAGAAAGAAGAGCAGAAGTACAAGGATGGAAGTGGATATACAGAACTGGTTTTAAGAAATCTGACTTGTCTTTCCAGTGAAATTTTGAAACTTTTCAGTCATATATTTTTCGTTTTAGCTGGTACTTCTTTCCTTTCACTACTTTTGAGTGGTTTCGTGTGTCTATTGCAAAACAATCCAACAGGTTTATAGCAAGCTCTTGGTCATACTATATATCAGCTGGGACGCCACACACATAGCATCCCATTTGAAAGGTATAGTACAAACGATTCGAGGTAGTTTTCTCATCAAGTGTCGGCTCGAGATATTGAATGAATATCAAGAACGAAACGTCTGTCCTGTCTTGGTATCAACCTTCTCCTTGCTGTTGTTTTCAAGGCATTGCTAAGAGAACAAGAAACAAGACACGCTATAGAAGATGCTGAAATTAAAGGACTCGAGCTGCAAGCTCAAAAAGAAATGCTTCAACAGGTAAGTATCCAGCTGTTATGTGGGTTGCCACGTAGACCCTTCGGAGCAAAAAGTAGTTATCTCTTGGGGTCACGGGTCTCCCACACCAGACCTCGTTGGTTTGTAGAGCCTACCCGGATTCCCTAGGGTGTCGTTCAGTATAACCCTATCCTGGATCCTGCGACTCTGTCGCTTTGTAGACCCGTTCCACACTCGGAGAGACTATATCGCAGAAACTTAGATTTCTTGGTGTAAGTCCCGTTCCGCATCCGTAGAGACGATATCTCAGAGCCCCCAAATATCCGTTCCTGAGATTGCGGAAACGAAAACATTGCAGTTGCGCGACATGTTCACTGACCAACGTTTCCGGCAACTGGTGTCGCAGCAAAATTGTGATATAAGTAGCAAGAAGTGCTGCCTAGAGTAACAAGTGATGTGTTTTTTTTTGTTCAACGACATAGGACTTGATACGCGATGAGCTCCAGTCTTCGTTCAAGCAACGATCAGAGCAAACGATCCAGCGCAAACAACAAGAACTGGAGGAGCAGCTGTTTAAAAGAACAATGGACGCTGTGCAGGAGGTGGACATTGACTCACAAAGGGTCAGTCAGTTAGTCAGTCAGTCAGTCAGTCAGTCAGTCAGCCAGTCAGTCAGTCATTCAGTCAGTCAGTCAGTCAGTCAGTCAGTCATTCACCCCTTGAGACATAGACACAGACAGACAATCATTCGGTCGGTTAGTCGATCAGTCAGGTCTTTCAGACAAACAGACCGGTAGTCAGTCGGTCAGCCAGTTAGACAAACAGAGTCAGTCAGTCAGTCACTCCTTCAGTCAGGCACAGACAGACAGTCAGTCAGCCGGTCAGTCGGTTCATTTTATAGACAAACAGACAGTCAGCCAGTCAGACAAACAGACAGTCAGTCAATCAGCCAACCTGACAGACAGACCTCACTCAGTTACAAAGAAACTAGGAGAACTTGGACAATTGTTTTTTGTCGCGATTTGTCAAATGAACCCTATTTTAACCCTAACAACGAACTGAAAAAACGAGTCCAGAAAAAAAAAACTGAAATGAGAAAAGCGTGATAAGTAGCAAGATAAAACTGTTCAAACCGCTATGAAATCTTTCACTTGCATTGCAAACTGTACTCTCTCACATGGTAATTTACTGCTTAAACTATTGCTTTTTCTGCTCTTTTTGTCTTTTCTTGTATAAAAGTGGAATCTACGGAAATTTTAAAGTCATGAGCAAGTGTTAAAATCGTCCTGGTTGGGTTTGGAATCGATTTTGCCGTGTGTGAAACACATGTAGTTAAACATACATGAGAAAAGAATTTGGCATTTATAATTGTTCAAAATTTCTTAGCGTTTGTCCAATAACCGCAGGCTTGCAACATCCGGAGCATTTCAATAATACAGATAAGTAGTTTAAGTATTCTGTTTCATCATCAGGTTTCTCAAGAGGAACTAGCCAAGGCTCAACAAAAGCACTCTTCTGTTAATTTGGAGGGAGAGGTGGAATTGAGAACCAGACTGGATGATCTTCACAGAGAGCTCAATGAAGTGAAGGTGAGATTATTGAACTGGTGAACAATGGCCATCGTAAAAAGCAAAAGACGTCAACTGTGCGAAAACCAGATAAGTTAAAAGCATTTTAGTCACTCGTGAAAAGCGCAGGAAAGGTCGCGTAAACTTTGGTGTTTGATTGGTCGAGATGGAAATATCCTCGCTCTTATTCAGTTGGTCAGAGTGTACTGCTAGAGATTTTTATCTGGCCCATTGTTTCAAAGGCTGGATAACTATTATGTGGATAAGTGTTAACAAAACAAATCACGCTATCCGCTGGGTAGTGATTTATCAGGTGGATAGCGTTATCCACCTTTCGAACAATCCGGACCTGATTGTTGACCTTATTTGACTAGTTTTCACTCGAGTGTCGTAGGTCAGCGTCAAATAACACAATTGCGCCGGGTCGGTTTTTTTAAGTAATCGCCGTAGCAGGCTAGTTTCTTTTATGTCGAAGCACAAACCCCGTTTCTGCGCCAAGATGTGAGAGTTTTATTTTATGGTTACCAATCTTAGGTTGCCCAGCATGTTTTAGAGAACAAAGAAAGAGAGAACGAAGTTCAGTCGCTTGTTCATGAGCTGAGGAACAAAGAGGTAGGCAATTAAAAAAAATTATTTCATTCCTGTCTCTTTTCTTGAGCTGCGCAAATTTGACATACCTATCTTTTCGCGGGTGTTCCAACTAGAACGATTTGACATTCAAGGAAGGGTGAAATTGTGATTGAGTTGGGTGTGCTTCAGCTTTTCTCTACTTTTCATACTTTCGTTCCCTGTTACACTGGAAAATAAGATACCGTATTCACTTGATGATTGGTCGATTTTAAGTATTTTTATTAACTATCAAGTGGCTAGTGCAAGGTTTTAATAATTTTTAGTAATTTCTAGCTTTTATTGTGTCCCCAGTTAGCGCCTATCGCGCTTGATCTATTTGACACGTAAATAACGTTTCTTGCTTGTTATCACAGAACGAACGGTCGTGGAAGATTTCACAAGCTTTGCTGACTCGCCGGAATAAAAATTTTACGCACGCACTGTCCTAGAAATAATCTCTTCATCGTCATTTTTAGGTCCTCGGTTTTAAACAAGAAAGTTTTCCGCTCTTTTTCCTTGTCGATTCTAACGCTGGTAATGCTGACTGAGGATTCTCTTTGCAGAATGACGAAGTCGCCAAAAAGCAATCCGAGTTGAGACAACAGAAGGCTATCGTTGCCGAGGAGGAAAGAAGACGAATGAATCTGTTAAACGCCTTGTCGCGAGATCACACCGCGACAAACCATGATTCCGAGTCATTCTGTACGTAAATGCTTTTATTCAATACAATGTTACAACTTTGATATGGTTAGCCAACAGCCAGCTAGTCTGCCTCCCACTAGTTGGGATTTTTAAGCCTATAATGTTTAAATCGTTGTCTTTAAGCCTTTTATTTTTATGTTTATTCTGTCAGTTTAAGTAGCATGCATGAGAACTATCTTGTTGAAGTCGTTGTAGCTAAGCACATCGACTCAGTACTATAGTCATTCAACAACATTTAGCCTATTTCCAATGACTCTTGTACTCCGTTTCTGTTCGTTGTACTCTGAAACGAACATTACTGATGGTCCTTGCCTCCGTATCTTGTGTGGAAAAGGCATAGTTAATTGCTTTATAGTGTTGATTAGTACTAGCGAGTTACAGCTACAACACCTCGATGGTCATGTTCAAATTTATAGTGCTACTTATTATGTTTAAAATATCGACATCTTAAACTCAGTTTCATGTGGGCTTTCAGGATATTTATTAATTTAGTACGGATTCGCTGTAATTAGATTATATTGAACGTTTATATCGCCTTGATGTCATGCACATAGCATAATCCCATAACGGTCATTTCATTCTGATTTGTGTAACGCAGCTCGACTGAGGGACATTCGTCAAGTCCCGGATGAGGCCAGACGGCCGTTAAGTGCCGTCATGCCCAGTAACACGGATAGCAGCACAACCTCAACGGACTGGGACTCAAGCGGGACTCCAATCACTTCACATGGTAATGATTATCCCCTACTTTTAGTCTCCTAGCAAGATAAGTTTTGACTTTTCACTTGGATTCAGAATTAGGGTCACGAATCGAGAAACAGTTGCCGACCTTTATTTTTCTACAGGGTAACTTCTCCGGAATTGACAATTGACTCACCAAATGCCTTAACGGGATACCAGTGTTTGTTGACATACACCAAAGAAAGGCCAAGCCTGAACGCTGTGCTTACCTTGCTATCTTCAGTCTTTTTACATTGTTTTTTGCAAAAGTGTCAATCATTTCCGTTCAGTTGCTACATTGGGGGCGTTTTGAAATTATAAAGTCGCAAGTAAAAAGAGGCTTGTTGTACAAACCAGAGATTTCGTCGGAAGAATGGCTGTTGGCTGTCAAGGCCCNCCCCCCCGCCCCTTTAGTATCAATCATGAATGAAAGAATCTACGCGCTGGTACCTAGAGGTAGGCTTTTGCTACTTGTTTTTGCTCTTGCTAGAGTTCTGTTAACATAAGTTACAGAGCAAATTAAAGAAATTCCCTAGTTCAGTTTTCCGGGACTCTGTTACCTGTTTACTGCCCTCTGACTCAATTAAGGCCATTTCCGAGTTACCTCGTGCCTCTGTTTCAAAACGAGTCTTCGTGCTAACCTTTCATATGAAAATGAGTTGGAACATGTAGGCGGTACACATTTTCTTATGAATGGTTTCGCACCAAGACTCGTTTCGACATAGAGGCAAAAAGCAACCGGAAATGACCAATTTCCTGACTTGAAATATTGTCGCGTTTTACTGTCACAGAACCTTCACTAGAACGTCAGCGGGGAACGTTTGAGAAGCGTGAACTGGAACTTATGGCTGAAGTTAGAGATCTTAGAAAACGACTTGCTGCCAGAAGACAGCAGCGTCCACCTGGCTTTCTGGGAAATATACAACAATAACTACCAGTTGGTGGAGAATTTTATTTAAGTTCTCTAGCGTTTCTTAGAACGATTTATTGTAAATATCTTGTACCCAAGGACTTGGTAGTTAAGTTCCGGTTGTCCTTTATATACGAACAGTTGAATAAGAACGAGCTATTTGAGTTAAAGCTGGTAAATCTTTCCAGCTCACTCCAGTTGGACGGAGAAACAAGCGTCGTATTTCTGTTACAACTCCCGACGCCTGGAGAGTTTCAGGAAAACTACCCGGCTCGCAGTCGCGAGCACAGCAGCTGTTGTCACAACCCGTTCCTAGGCAACTCTTTTTTCCTTCCTTGAGAAAGGTGGAAGAGAGGGGAAGGGGAACCGGCTGCATGGGAACTTTGTTGCTGTCGTCATAGGATACGTCATGTTGCTTAGCAACGTACCGTTGTCCACCGCGTGAGGTTATTACCAAACATTTACTTGTTCCTACGAAGTATATTAATTGTTTTCGGAATACTGTACAACAGTTCCGAACCAGTAAGGACCAGCACGTATTTTCTCAGTGGTATCAGTTAGATAAACAAAGTAAACTTTGATCTGACTTTTTCTTGCTTTGGCAAATTGTATGTTTACACCCACGAGTTTGGTTTGTCTTATTGCAGTGATTCCCTTGTTTTGAGTTTGCTCCCCAAATATTTGAAAATGAAAAAATGTAATGATAAAGCGGTTTTCTACGGTCTGCAAATTAGTTTAAACCCAGAGTAATCAGTGTGCTTCTCGTTTCTTCCCAAGGTGCTATATAACCGATACGTTTTCAAAACAGGCCCAGAAAAGCACTGCAGCCAAATTAATGTCAACTGGCTTTGGCTTTTTCACCTGATTGACCACAGAAACATGTTCGCTCTGGTTTTTAAGCTCACGTAAGACGAGAATTTTTGCACCAGCTTTACATTCAAACACCGCCCTAGCTGTTCAGTTAAACTCAGAGATAATTGGTTTTTATATATTTTCTGTAAACTCGGTGTACAAAAGAAGCTAGTTTTATACGTTTTTATCTTCATGGTACAATAAATACTCTGCGTCCTGTACGTAGTCTCAACGTGGTGTGCAAGAGGGTGTGGTCCTGTAAAGAAGATAAAGAAAAAAAGGGAAAAGTATTAGCTCGGGAAATACTATTTTGTTGTTGTTATTGTTGTTGTTGTTTGTTTTCTCACCCAGCAGACGTATAATTTCCTCGCAAAAGAAGGCTGATAACGTAACCCCGTGATCGTGAGCGTAAGACACTGGTGTATACTAGTCGCTAGTTTGGCAGTGTGGTCTTGGAAAGCCTTCGATTGTGTGGATCATTTGACGTGTATTGAAAAACAAGGAAAACTAATATTTGGGGTGACCATGTCCGTAAATTTTAGCATACCTTTACGTCAAGTGGCCAGTCGCCAAATTATAGTTTTTTCGTAAAAAAAAAAATGCGCCAACTTTGCTGAGAGTTTTTTAAAACGCGCCAACTTTGCAGAGGGTTGTTTAAAACGCACCAACTTTACCGAGGGTTTTTCCTTAGCTAGAGAGTGCCCTGTCAGTTGTTTAAAACGGTTACTTTTATTCTGGTAGACATTCGTTTCATCACGAATAATGTATTCCTTACAACAGTGACAAGAATCAACACGGAGCAACCAACGCAACGAAGCAAAACAACGTGCGAAAGAAGACTCCATTAAACAAGTTTCACCTTAGACGCAGAGTACTAAAGACGCCCCAACTGGTTTGCATTGACCTAGTGAAATACATTTACCCTTTTTAAAAGCTGGGAAATACTTAGCAACGAGAATCTGACTTGTATTCTGGCTACCTTTTTTTATTACTTTTTGTCAGTCGAGAACTTTAGAAATTGTTCAATCAAGAGACTTATTGCAGAAACGCTGTTGGTTAATGGGCTCTGGCAAAATTGTGTAGATGTCATCGCCCGTACGTGATAACACGGGCACTGCAGATAAAATTTATAAATAGATAGCGTGCTGCCAAATTTGTGTCATTGTGAGTTTTATGGCCGTGTGTTGTTGAGGTGCGTAGTTTTAGTGTTGTCAATGCTTATCTGCAAATAAAAATTTTGAATAGAAGGCGTATCCCGCAAAACTTGTGTTAGTTTCCTTTTTATTTTTGCCAGGTCTTGCTGAAGTACATAGTTTTAGTTTTGTGTTGTATGGCACTTGTGTTTTGTTTTAATTTAAACATTTTCCAACTCTGTAGCGGGAGAGATCCAAAAGAGACATGAAAACAGTTACGTAACTAACCAATCAAATTGGCGATTTTATTACTTTGGTAGAATGACAGGTACAGACAAGGTTATATTACAATCTGTCATCATGGTACAAATCAATTTTATGTACAAATATTGGGCTCTTCCTAAGCAAACTTAATTTTCGTAATGTGAAAATGACATCCATTTTTAACGTAAAAGGGAAATAATTTTAACAAGTCATCGTCCGGCGAACGGAGGTTTACCTTTGGATGGTGTAGACGATGAAGGATAGCTCCAATGGCGGTCTAAGCTGTCGTATTTAAGGGTGCGCTTCTTGTATTGTTCGTATCATCTTGCGCGACTCGATTCTGTAAAGCGGTAACGCGATTGTTTCTTAGAGATAAACTGCAACGCCCCCGAGAACGGCTGTGGGTGATTTTCATCCAGAGCGCCGAAGCACCGTGGCGAAAAGTCTCATTAAAAATAAAATAAATGCACGGGTTTATCGCGCTTTTGCTGTAGGCCAGGAACCACACGAGAAAATAAATATGTGGTGACTTGCAAATGTCATTAGAGAAATTTTGGAAGCAGAGCATGCTTTCTATCCAGATGGGAAGCCAGCAGATAGCAAACAGCAGAACAATTGCAACAAGCATGCCTATGATTCTTCTGTTCATCTTCTCAGTGTGATAGTGGTGGTGATTTGGAATATGAAGCTCATTTCCCGGTGTCTCTCGCAGGCATAACTTTAGCATCACGGCAGTGTACAGAGCGCCCTGGATTATTAACGGCGTGCACTTGAACAAGACGAAGATGGCCACGAAGTAAATCTCGATCGACTCGGATTCCCAGAACGACAGGTAACAAATGTTACTGCCTTTAAACTCTTGGACGTTCGCTAGGAAAATCATCGGGACTGTGAAGATAATCGAAGTGATCCATATGATTCCTATTATCCCGAGGGCCACATGGCGCGTGATGATCCTCTTAAGAGGAAAGAACACCACAATGAATCGATCCACTGCCATTGTGGCCAAACTTTGGGTGGTTACCAGTGCAGAGAGCGCCATTACAACGGATTTCAGTTTGCACAAAGCGTGTCCCAACGTGCCTTGGACCAACCAGCTGGACAAAGCCAGTGTAATGACGGCTTCTGTCGAACTAGAGACGGTGATTAGGATATCGGCGGCCGCTGTATTGACGACAAAGAAGTTGTTCGGTGTCTTCATGTGATGGTTGTAATTCTTGTGCACTATTGCAATAATGAGACTGTTACCCACCAACGAGGTCACAATAATAGCACAGTAAGCTGCTACTTTGATCCCTGTGATATAATGCGGTTCTGAAAACAAATTTTCCTCTTCAGCTTCGGGCTCTGTCTGATTTTCCATTGTATACCTCCTTGCTGTTTTTTCTTCTCTCTTTTTTCAGTATTCTTGCTGGCTCGCCGAATGAAAGCTTAATGAGATCCCTTTTCAAGCGCGAGGTTTTTATCAGCTTAATTAAACCGCGAATCTGTGTTCAATTTGAGTGGCAGACGTCCGTATAATTTCAGAGAGTTTATGATTACTTTTGATTGATTGCCAGTGGTTATTAGTTCCCCGTACTCTCAGCTAGATAACTTGGTCCCTCACTTGCTTGATCTAACCGCAGTCTGTGACGAGGCTTATCAATCCATCGTTTTCCTCACTTTAAAGAGACTATGATCTATTTGGCGCAAACGTATGGTTAATTTTCCGTCATCATGTGTTGCCAGTGTCTGGCACAAACTAAATTGTCTTCACAGATTAGAGAATTGCCAACTTGTGACAAGGATGAAATATTATAGGGAGGGGCAAGTACGAGTTTAAGTGTTCCGCTCAGTTTTATAAAATAAGAAGCCCTCTCTGGAAATTTATCCGTGCCTCTCATAGAAAAGGCTAGCGAATGTTGTAATCAGTCGTGAAAAACTGTCACAGTGTTCAAATAACAGATAGGAAAAGCAAATAAAGTGGCATTGCACAGATAATAATGAAAGTTTCAAGATCTTCTTAATTGCAGTCGATTTTTTAGCCTTCCGGCATATGTCGAAAACAAAATAGTTTTGTTTAGGTGGGTCCATTTACGACTACGAAACTTTTGAATTTTTTCGCCTGGTTGTGGCTCTTCAAAAACGTTTAATGGTAGGCTAATCCTATGCGGTATGTTTCATCAGACTTCCGCCGGAAGACAGGAGTAAACGGCAACTTCCTCGCAAAACCGGCGAGGACAACTATAACAGCAGGTGCTTTGTTGAGATGCCGCCTACGCAAACTGCTTAATAAATTCTCCAAATGCACTCGAGAGATAAGTATCTCTTAAGCCTGGTAAATGAACATCTAAGGAACAAATATCGAGAACGAAACCATTAAGCCATAGGTAACTCGAAGACTGTATGTGGTGGGATGTCTTGTCTGAAAATCGAATTGCTGATATGACATACGCGGGCTGTCTTTATAAATAACGCCTGTTTTCACTAAGGCTTGTGTATCCAATCTGTAGTTTCAAACGTTCTCAGTCAAAGTGGTTCAGTTATTTGAGCACAGCGAACGGAGCTAGACTTAACAGTACGGACGTTAGCTCTTAATTCTTGATCATAAAAAAGCACAGAACAGTGAGTGAAAGTTCTCTTACCGTTAGAAACTCAGAACAAGTCGGGAACTGAAGTGGAGATGCGTCTCCATCAGACCGACAAAGCCGGCAGTTTGTTATGTTAACATAGCTAAGACAAGTATAGGTAAGCCAAATTGCTAACCAATACAAAGAGGAAGGTTTAGATATTCGCAATGTGCAAATTGCGTGGTGAACTCAAAATTAAAAAAAGAAACAAATCATTTCGAGCTGATAGATAAAATTAATAGTCCTAGGGCTTTCTGCGTCTCTTCCCATTCTCCTCGCGGCGTAGTCTGCTGGATGACAAAGTTAGTAAGGCATGAAAATGGTACTTGTTCTCCCAATTGAGTATTCAATTAAACACGCTTTCTCAATACTCACACAAATGGTTGCTTGTTTATTACCGCTGATCTCGGTTGGTATCTTAGCTGTTGAAAACAAAATAACGAGTGATGAAAATAAAACCACGAGAAGAAAGATAAAATAAAGAGAGAAGAAAAGCGATAATAGCACCTGTATTTGTCTTCTGGAAGGGTCTAGTTGACTTGGCGGCGTCGACATCTCAACTTCCTCTGTGGTGAAAAAAATGAAAATTACCTAACTGTGGACCCCTGAATTGTCTTAACCAAATTGCACGGTACGAAACGACAAACTATTGACTCAATATTGTACGTACGGCTGGGGCAGTCGGTCTGGTGGGGTGTAGAACTAATTTGTGTTGCGCCTTGAGATGATGAGGGAGTTGTGTACTGTGATCTGTTGCTTAGTCCACTGTTGCCTGGTGTGCTCGACCTGAAACACAAAAGAAAGAAAAAGTCTACAGATGTAGAAACGAACGAAACGGCAGTAGTGAAGCTTTTAGTCAATTTAGGACGGTGCAGTGATCTATCAACGAAAGGATCTGACACCTAGTGGAGGAAACTATATTGAATAGGGATGGTTACGAAATCCAGAGAACGACTGGGGAAAAAGTTCCTAATAAAAAGGTGTTGCCGAGAATATTCTGACAGATTCCTACGATAAGGGGGAAAAGGAGAATTGACTGACCTGTTTGTTAATAACATGGCAGGCGATGACATGGGAGAATACGAAACCCCGGTTGCTCCAAGCCCTGAGGGCGTAGCTGCTTCATAACTTCCCGGAGTGTTGGCCGTCCTGGACAGGTGCATCCCTTGAAGGTGGGATCTACAAATACAGTGACACGGCTAAAAACAATACGAATCTACTTTTAGAAAATCGTTTTCTCGCAGAAGGACTTTTTTCGTCATACATTAAAATACAACTCGGTAAGTGACATAAGCTACAATCCAGAGTAGCTTCTGTTACCCAATGAATAAATACCTCAGTCTATACCAAGCGAGTTAACACAACCATCGTTTCTCTCCAGTTATCAAATAGTCCCCATGAACTAAAAGTAGTTTTCAACCTGATTATTCTGACCCGGCTACTTTTGGGTTCAAAGTAATAAGCCATAGTCACGTTAGTGTAATCCTTCTCCTTTCCATTTTGCTTACCTAAGAACAGTCCCAGGTGTTCCTCCTGCGGACCCTGGACGCGACAAAGGCTGTTTGTTTGGAGATGGTGTTTTTCTGATTGTACCTAGAGCAAGAGTAATCTCACAGTTTTGAATGTGTCTGCGGGATATTTGATAGAACTCTTTATAGTGAGCTTCCAAAGGTCATTTGAACATTTTTAGCACTGCACGACAATAGAAATCGGTTTGACTGCATGGAAGAGCTCAATTAAATCTTATAGAGGCTTTCCATCTTGTTTGCTAAAGCCTGACTTACACATGTGATTCAAACAAAAGCACAAAACATGCATACGGCGCAAGAACTTAAAAATGATTTTTCCAAGCAAGTTTTTTTGCTTGCTCTTGGATATGGGACAGCCGTGTAAACTGGAATAAACAAGTTATTAACTCAAGCGGCCCCTTATCGAGGTTCTCACTGGTTCACATACAGCGCTTTCCAGGAAAGTTTTCCCTCAGTCGAAATGAGAACCGCAACAGCGCACACGATAGTTTATATTGTGTCATGGTGTTTAAGCGTAATCGAAGAAAAACAATGGGAAAATCAGCAACAGTAAATACTTTATTCATTGGAATTAACGGTAAAACAGTGCAAACTTGGATCCATCATCCGTGAACTAGTACCACCCATAACAAATCCGAGCATTAGTGAGCCGGATGAGACTGAAATACTACTCACCCATAAACCCGTTACAAGGTGGAGTCCTGACAGACAATCTCGTGGGGCCAGACGCTGTGCGGGATAACTGGTTCTGAAATAAAATTAGAAAGAAGTCGTAAATTCAGCCCTCCTCCACATACTCAGAACTGGGTCAGACTATACTTAAAAAATGAATTCCACTGTACCTGCCACTGGTTTGATGCTTTATTCTCTTTCTGTGAGCTGGAGAGAAGTGAAAAAAATACCATTAGTGCTCCCGCTGAGAGGCAGTTATTCTCTATCCCCGACAAAGAAGAGGGGCCTGAAGGAGTAAAACCGGTAGTAATTTGCAAATTATTTTCACCGGGAAAATGGGATTTGTTTTCACAGGAAATCACACAGAAACATAGCTAAACATGGGAGTATGACCGGTATTTGGAAAAAATATAGGCTGGGGAATGCGATTTGGGCAAAATTTGGCTTGGGAAATGGGATTCATAATTCCCCCCCCCCCCCCCCCCCCC